TTGATTTACATTTTAGGAAACAATTAAAACCGTCAAATTGCTATTGTCAAGGTGGATTGAATATGATATATACCAATATCAACTCACCTTGACTATTGAACTTATATCAAAACTTGTAAATAGGTTTATACCAGTTTATTTGATTTTTAAATATCAGTTAGTACAACATTTTATTATTTGTTTTAAATTATACGTTATTGAATTTCATATTTCATATTTCATTAGACCAATATTTACTATCAGTCTTATAAAATACAAGTATTATTAAAAGATTGAAAAGAGCACGAAAATTATGTAGGTACATAACATATTAGATATATTGAAGTATGCGAGCGGAAGTACAAAGTTTTACTTATTTATTTATTCTATGATTAAGGAATCGCTTTTGTTTACATCAAGCAAATAGTCACATAGCTAGAACGACAATAAAAAGGGCACATACGAGTAGTAAAATATGACGATGTGCATTATAAATTATATTGGACTATTGGACTTTGAATAAAATTATGATCTAGGTGTCAAAGAATATTTATGTTATAAGTTTTTGTAAGTAGGTACTTCTTAATCGAAACATGTATTTATTGTTACTTTAAAGAAATAAATTTAAAACCTTGTATAATGTATGCATTTTTACGATTTATCGCAATATGAAATTGCTTTACAATAATTTTTTAGTAAATTTGAATTTAATATAGCATGCAATATAATATATCTCGTATATAATAACTCTTCCTTTCAAAAATCAGAACTCCAATTACACCGAGTACTAACAATATGTCTTAATTTTTGGAGTTAATGTAGAAAAAAAAGAGTATCTGATAACTTATACATAAATAATTTACAATACTGCAGATATTTTCACTCTCTAATTTACTTAGTTGTGGGACTGGCTAATTATAATTATCATTAAATAAAGAAAAATCCTTACACCGGTGATATTTACATATTTAAAATTAATTTTAATAAACGATAATATACACTTCACACGATTATGCGCAAACGCGTATTTCAAATCCTCCGTGATAATAGTATTACGTAATGTGTATGGTATTGGTATATGTTTATATATATTATAAACTACTGTACGTGTGTCTACCACTGAACTCCTCCTAAGCGGCTGAACCGATCGAATGAATTTTTTTTGTTTGAGTTCGGGTGACGCCTTGGATGGTTTAGATTCACAATTTTACCAGATATTTTCGACCCGGGAAGTTGCTCTAATAGTTATATTAACATTTTGAAGGAAACATTTGTTTATATACGGTTGGTATTGTTCATATTAGAAATATAAATATATTTAGTAGAAATTGGTATTTTTTTTATGTTTTTTGGTTGCCAGCTGCGGTCATCGGGCAAATCAGGTATACACATGCATACTTTTTATTTTTCGCACATTGCCTATACCAAGGTGGCTGAGCTGCACTTATAGCCGCTCATCGGCGTGCCCGCGATAAAAAATAAAAATTAAACATATTATTTATATATAGTAATAAAGTACGGATCAAGCGGGGTCCACAATCCCCAACAGGTAAACGTAATATTCTGCTCGCATTACACCATATAGAGTTTTCGTTTTTAACGGGCATCAAAGTGCACGGGATCATCTAGTATTTGTAATATATATTGATATTACTTAAATACTTATTTTATTTGTGTTTTATTTGTATTGTTTATATTATTATTTACAATAATCTATGATGTTACCGTAAAAGACGAATTCCTAGGTGAAGCTAGATTTTAGTAGGTAATGCTCAAATTCACTGTTTGTACTCAGTAAAAGCTGAGAATCATAATTTTATTAATGGTTTACCCCTTAGTACAATAATTTTAAAAAAAAACCTCGTGTAATATACTAATCATGGCATATGGCCAATACAGTCAAGGCCTTGTGTTTATAATAGTAAAAATTTAAATAAAGATTTTAGTAATACTTGAAATTTACAATGCATACCTATTTACAATAAGTAAAAGATATAAAAACAAAATCAATCGTTGTCAAAACATCAATCCTTCGTTGGAGATTTGATGTTCTTTGTATTGGGCATGAAGAGAAACTGAATTATCTAGTGGAAAGTGGATCTAAAGATATTCGATACTATACGTAGGTATGTAATGAGGAACGCTCATAATATTTTGATATTATACATGGAGCTCGAATTGCATTAGGAAACGAGCCATTGTGATATTGATTGAACAAATTTATGCTTAAAAAAAAATACAAAAATGTTAATGTGGAAGATAGAAATGTGTAGGTACTTGAACATGCGTGAAGCATGTCAGAAAAAATCATAGTATAAGAAAAAATAAAATGCCAAAAAAAGGACAACCTAGCTATAGGTAGTTGATGAACCAATATTGCACAGTGAAATTAATTATCGAAGTCAAATTGATGTGATTGACATGAAATCGAAACAAGATAATGGTTTTAAATATATTATGGTTTTTCAAGATCAAATGACCAAGTTTTTTAGTATCATACGCCCATCATGTGTGGTGTGAACGCGCAAAAGTAATTATTGCATAATTTACACTTTTAGATAATATTATATATTGATACTATTTGGAGGACTTATTACACTATATGCTCTGATAATGGGTGAAAATTCGTAAGTAAAATGTCTACCAGTTTATGTGAAATATGGCCTCAAGTCAAAATATATTATGACAAGACTAACTCGTTAAAGCCAATCTCAAGAGTCGGTCGGACGAGCTAATCAAGACATAAGAGTTTAGAAAGCTTATAACTATCAGTGATTAGATTTAATAATATATAATTAAACTTTTTGTACAGTGTAATTTTTATTTGTGATGGATTAATTAGCATGTAATAACTGATAAAAATACTGTTTTTAAAAACTAATTTCTTTTGTAATTATTTTTATACAACTATTAGTAATTTGTTTTGTTAGATTATAATAATATTATAAATTACAATAATATTCATAATCAGTTACTACAGTACAAATAAAAACTACTCTATAAAAAATTATATCTAATTAAATATTATAGGCTTTAAATCTATTATGTATAAGATAAGATTATAGATATGTATACTTTAGTTAGTATATTATAATAATTATGGTATATCTATATTATAGGTATAATACATTATTATTGCAATTTCAGCATAAATATAAGTAATTGCCATACCAAAAGTACTTTATAATTTCTAATATTTTTGGAATTCTAATTAGTAAAATACTACGTTAATATGTAGTCATTTTTTTTTTCATTTTTTCTACCGTCACGTATAATATTGCCTAACCACGGCAATAAATAATACGTGTACGATGGGTTATGCTTCTAAAAATACGAACCCTCTACAACATGAGCCACCTGGACGTTTCGCAGCTATAGTAATATATACTATATAATAATATTATAAATTATTATAATATATACCTATTATAATACGTATATATACATTACACACACACGTACATACATACACGCCATACCCATACGCACACATATACATGCAAACATACACACTACACACGCACATACACGCACACATACACACATACATACGTACATACATACATATTACATACATGTATATACATATTACATACATACAGGGTGGTTCAGAATTTACGTTACAGCCATTTTATGATAGAAATATTCAAAATAGTAAAAAATATGTAATATAACAATTTTTTGATTTGAAACATCTATTGTGATCTCATAATTTTATAATTGCTTGCAATATTTGAAGGAGGTATTGGGGGGTTAACTTTAGAAATTCAAATGGAAACCTATACTTTTTTTAAATACTTCTCAAGCACAGAGTTTAGTATTAATTAACGTGGTTCATACATTAAAATGTATTTTTTAAATGTCTCCACATTATGTTTACAAAAAAGTATAGGTTCCCATTTGAATTTTTAAATTGACCCTCCCAATACCTTTCTAAATAAAAAAACTTTTGTATTATATATTTTTCACTATTTTGAATATTTATAAGACAAAATGGCTTTAACATAAATTTTGAATCACCCTGTATAGTGTATATATATATAAATACATAGGGACAGGGTCGCTCTTGTCGAATGTTTGCCGGGAACCATAACTACAGACTACTATCAACATTTATCATCGAATTTTGACATTTGCCGCCATTTGTAAAACTTCGAGTTTAGAAGAAACAAAAAAAAAAAAACCATCACGACCGCCCGCTAGGCCGTACACATCTGCTTTTATCTACTTTGAAAGCAGCTGGACATTCGGCGTCGAGTCGTCTCACTTCAAAACAACTGAGCGGAACGGTGTACAACGTTTTACACGAATATTCCAAAAATATAAGCCAGTATTTCGTCTCAGAACTATTATTATTGTCGGTTAACGGCTCTAGACAATCGTCTAGCCGCCGCCTAGGGAACATCGTAATATCGTATTTCCAATTTACCGTAGATACTATAGAAATAGGTGCTTTCCCGGACCGAGGCCGACGGTAGCTATAATGAGAACCCAATGAAAAATGACTGACGCTAAGATTTAAATACAATATTATATTGTACGTCCAACAGTATAAAAGTAATCGAAGACAATAATATTTCGATAAAACCAATGCTCTCAAGTCACGGGTGTTGTACCTGTACACGAATACACGGTACAGTGGTACACAGATATGTTTGTATTGTAATGTCTACGCGGCGGATCGTCCTGAAATGTAACAATGTCGCTGAAAGGATTAACAATGCCAGAGGAGGTTTCAAGGACAATCGGTCGTCGAGTTTTCGCGGGAACGCACACACGACGAGCAGTGTACACCTTTAGGCGCACGAAGCCATGTTTGTCGCATTCCCGCGTCCCTCTGTACCAACTTGTTTTTATTTTCTTGCAACCCGAGCATCGAAAACGTATAATATAATAACATATTGTGCGTATAATAATATTTCGTGCAGTGTTGTTGTGTACAATCGTCGAGAAATCTGGTTTCCAGAAATATGAAAACCACGCCCCGTTGACCACCAACTCCCCTTAACCCCACCCCGGGACCGCCGCGCACACATGCCTACACACACACCCCGACTATCCCCCGGTCGTAACGTCGGGGCCCGGGTGGGCGCCCGTTTGTCTGCCGATTTCCGGCGACGCGGTCGGTCACACGCGCGTGTACCTTGGGAACATGCATTTTATTATGTTTATGTACGCACACAATGCATCGGCAGAACCCTCCAGAGCCCTGCGGTCATCATTTCACTATAATCTTCTTTTCGGGTTGGTCGTGTATTTGTGCAGCGGCAACAACGCGCGCGTCTTGTATGCATTATTGCTGTTTCGTGTCTCCTGCACAATAAAACTAATACAATAATATAATAAATACGCGCGGAACAATTATTTTTTAATAACATTGTACTGCAGCTAGCTGGTGCGCTAAACGGCAAAGTGCGCGTGTCACACAACGTCCGTTTACAATATTATGGTATTATCGCCGTCGTCGATTCAACGCATATGGTTTTTTCTGAAAGACGCCATCGGCCCCAAAGACTTCACACACGACGCACCGCCGCATCAGGTAAGACTCGCGATTGTTGTTTGTTTATCATAATAGTAGCATAATATAACGGTAGTGCGCCAAATGGTAATAATAATAATAATAATAACAATGGTAATAGTCCGTACTTTGTAGTTTGTACCTGAACTGTAGATATTGCATAGTATTATGCTTGGCACACTTCAGTACCTACAATGGTTTTATAATATAGCAAACGCACGATTCAGCAAATTTGTCGGCTTATCAGAATATATAAAAATACAAAAGAAAAACTGAACATAAAAAAATGCTACGATATTGTAAAAAAAAATCCTTGGCGTCGTTAAACAAATCTGCACTATATTGTACAAAAATTGTAATACATTTAAACGTATGAAGTTAAAAATACCATAATTATATACTCATGTGAAACTTATTGCCGACATGTTGATGATTATAATTAAATAATGATTGAATAATCGGACTAGGCTTCACGAATTAAAAATTGATAAATTGATATATCTTTGTGTTTATTAAAAAATTAAAATCTTTAATACATTAATACTTGAATAGTATTTTTATAATTTAAATATTGATTTAAGAATTGTGTATTTAATTTAATGTTTTTTAATTTCTAAAATGCTCGTAATTATATGAAAATATGTCCCATTAAATAAATTTAGGTCAGAGTTTTTGTTTTTGTTTTCGAGCAATACACTCAGGACTGCATGGACCAGTGGGTGACAGAATAAAACTATACATTTTTCAAATCTATATGTATCATACACAAAATATTTGTTTTATTATCCCTATACTTCTCCATAATGTTCCACTTCAAATAGAATATAGGTTTCATCATCAATCTTCTTAGCATAAGTAAAACGTTTTGAACTATAAACTACAAACTGTTAGCAATACAAAATATTCTATGCTCAATCGCGTTGTACTGATATGTTGATAGGTACTAATATGTTATTATTTATTAGTTTATTACAAATTGAATATAATATAGTGGTATCAGATGTAGTTTTCAAAACAAAAAAAAGTATCAAAACATATTTACGAACAACTAATAGTAGACAACGAGTGAAAACGATTTACAAAATGAGTTATAACTTATAAGTATACATAGAGATATACAAGGTGGAACAGATAAACCTAGCAAAAAAAAAATGATGCCTTAAAGTGGGACGAATTTTTTTTAACATTATATGAGTAGTAAATAATTTAAGAAATATACTCTTGTCACCAAATTTCTTAAAATTATATTTAAAAAAAGTTATTAAGTGCCAAACGAATTAAGTCAAAAAAATATTGATTTTTTAAAAATGTCTAAAAAACAAACTAGTCGACTTACATACATGTTTTAACTATCATAACTGTTCTTATAATCAGAATCAAAAATTGGGTATTTTGAACTTATCCAAAAAAAATTTAATTTAATTTTAAATTTTATATAATATTCTGTATTAAAAAATTAAAATAACTTTTTTTATATTATACATGTAGCGCAAGTATCTATAAATGATTTATAAAAGAAAAAAATTCAAACTATTGATTATAACAAAAATTATTGCATTAGTCAGTTCTTTATGTTACACCCTGTATATTTTATATCTATTTTGAAACACTTATTTTGTCGGTGGGTGCGTTTTCATTAGGTTTAAGAATATTTTTTTTCTGTTGACACGAGAGCGTCTAGTGAAAGTTATTTTTATATTAAAAAAAATATAGACATACAAATGGGTAATAGGTATTTATGCATTTCCGCTAGATATATAATACGTGTTTAGTAATCAATTATAATAATATTATATCCCACTTATAGGTACCTACCTATAGGTAATTTATATAATTTTAAAATTCCCAAATATTTCAAATACCTACCTATCATTTATAACACATTAGCCGTTTTTCGAATAGGTATGTATATTATGTATTCTATTAATGTCTACAAAAAAAAAATAGTGCAATATAAAAATAACTTCGAAAATAATCCATATCTGTACACAAAAGAAAAATTATAGAAAAAGGAAATTTATAAAAATTGTTTACATGTTTATAGTTAGTCCTGGTTCCAACAGTCAAGACCAACGAACAGAAGTTTAACATAAATCAGGTTTCATACGGAATCTTCAGTCCAAAAACTTACGTCGAATCTTTTTGAGCTGTTTATAGATATTTTGAAAATTTTTATTTTTTTATGTGTTGATAAAAATTTTTTCACTCTTTCGAAAAGCTGGAAAATGTAGTATAATATCTCACATAAACCTTTTCCTTTTTATAAACATTTGACAAAGTTCCAGAAAATCACGAACATTTGTAAATTATTTTGTAATTAAAAATGTATTAAATTTTCAATTTTAACAGGATTCTTTATGAGTTGATTATACTGAAACCAAAATATCTGAACAAAATATATAAGCGCTTTTTTTCATAGACAGTTTTAATATTTAGATAAAATAATTAGATTTCAAACGATGAAGCAATTTTACTTATTTTGTTGTAATTTAGACTTATTTTTCGTGGGGATTTGAAACTCTTACGTAGGTGTAATACTATATGTATCATATGATACATAAAGGTTCTTTTAAGCTATCGACTATTTATTCCCTTAAATTATATTCATATACATATGGTGTAAACATAAACGAAATTCGAATTTTTAGAAAACATGAACATACATAGTAAGCATTTAAAAAATTTGAATGATACTCTTGTCTTTTTATCATGTTGTTTTTCATAATTTGTTATAGACTACTTTAGTCATTACACGGTATGTTGTATCATTTCTATTAGATAGTAATTAGTTTCTTCAATTAACTTGAATGGAAACGTGTTCCTTTAAAAAAATAACGAATGTGAACTTAAATAATTTCATTTTATATACGAGTATATTAAACGTCCATGTAAACGAGTCCAGTATCTAATTATAAATATAATATCATAAAATATATTATTATTTAATAACATTATGGCTGGCTGACGTGAGACGTGAGACTATCTTTACTCAGAATTTTTTTTCATATGCAATGATTTACAAAAGAATTAAAATTTAATACACATATATATTATAGTTCCTTTCTCAATTACGAAGTACACTTGACACCTGTACTGTCACCAACTTTCCTCTTTTTAAAACTTACATTTTAAATGCAAAGTTAATTGGAGTTACCGCGCTCACCTTTTTTCAAAAGCTCCAATGATAGTAAGAAAATATAGTGCTTCAATAATAGTAAATTAACAACAATTTTAATACACTAGTAAGTAGTAAGTAATATTGATACATAATAGATAGGTAGTAATAATCTAAAATATAACATTTACAAGGAACCCATAAATGTATAATGAACTTTTTAAAAAATGTTTGAGAAATTACTCAATTGAAAAACAACAATATAATTTATTATTTCATCTCTACGTTGCCTATTTTACTTAAAATATAATTAAAAAACCGACGACTATCGACACAGATAACTGATTATATTATTTTATATAATAAACAATTTAAACATGGTATAACTTCTTCGAGCACGATTATAACAAACGCGAAACAGCGTTTTTTACGACATTTTTACGTAATTATTAATAAATAGTAAAAGAAGTATTCATACTCCATTTAAGCATTAATGTTTCCATTGTTTATTGTAAAATTATTTAAAATGTAATAATTTTTTAAAAAATGTACTAGTATTTACTTTATAATAATATTATATAGTATATAATATATTATGATTTATATGGTATTTATGACCAGAGGTTAATGGTTAAATCAAAATTTTTAATAATGATTTATTACATGTGTATATTGCGCACCATTAATTTTAATACGCGTGTATTTATTAATTGTTTCGATACAGACTACGCCATGATAACTTCAATATTATTGATCATTATGCTACACACCGGATTGTCGGCCAAAAGTGGATATGAAGAATTAGAAAAAACGTTTCGTTTGAAATTAGGTAATATTTATACAATATATTCATTAATTCAATCACGGTTGAATAGAAATAACTGTATTAAATCATCGTTTTATCTTAAAGGTTTAAGCGAAAAACCTGTGGTAGGTGGAAACTTAAAGATACCAGCTGCCACTTTGAATTTGCTCAAATTAGCATCAGAACAAAAATTGACAACACATTTTCCTCTTCCTGGTTTGCACACAACAACTGCTAATACTGCTAGGATTTATCACAACAAAGGTAATTAATTATTTTATTTTATATAAACTATGTACTACCTATATGGCAAACAAGTTATAATAAATTTGTGTTAAATTCTTTTAATATTTTTTATTTAAATAAAATAGATTGATACCTACTAATGTATATTGAATATTACGTTATCATGAGCTAATATATTTTAGTAGAATCGAGTTGATGAATAATAAAAGTAATGAGTATTGTTAATTATTTATTTTATTTTTAAAAATAAAATATTGTAAATTTAATATTGTATTATTATAGGTTCAGCTCCACTTAAAGCCAAGGCTAAGAAATATAGGCTACAGTTCGATATAGATTCTATACCAGAACGAGAACAGGTTAAATCTGCTGAAGTTCGTTTTACAATGAAATACGATCAAGCACTACAGAATGAAGAATTTATTCATGTGGTTTTACATGATATAATCCAACCTGGTACGAAGGGCCTATCAAAACCTATTCTTAGGTTAGAGTGGTGAATAATTAGTATGTATATATCAGAGGTATTCAACATTTTTTATTAGACGGCTTCTTTGCCCCTTTACAAAATTTTGCGAACTCAAACTGTTACTAAGCCTGGCCAAGTTGATGATTGTTTTAAATTGAGTTTTATTAAGTTGATAACATGTTTAAAAGTTTTTAGTTAGTAGTTATATTAATTTTCTTAAACATGATTAATTTAAACGTTTTATGGAAACTTACAATTAACTTATAAACTTAAGTAAAGTTAAAAAGTATATCTTTTTTTTTTAATATTCTATAAATAGAAAGTAATATGGTTTGATAATAATACAAAGTAAATGGTTATGCAATATGCAACATCAATAATAATATTGTATTGTATTTATTATTTAATTATTTATGAACCAAAGTAGCTTAAATTCGATTGAAAGTAATTTTTTGTTTATTAAGTTTATATCAATGAAAATCAGTTAACTTAAAAATTAATTTACTGAAAATTAAATTAGAAACGTGGGGGAGTGGATGTTGCTGTGATGTGCAGTAGGTTACAAGTGGTTCATTGTAATGGATGGTGTTAAATTTTACGAGTAATTCAATGATATAAAATCATTGTAAATGTACGAAAAACGATTTTGAGCGAAGACGGTCCGTCAGCCTTTAATGTTACTTGGTAATTTAGTATATTTGATGATGTCATTGTGATTAAAGTAATTTATTTTACTATTAGACATTATTATTACAGTAAGTTACATTCATTTTTGCCGAAAAAATTATATTTTAAAAGTTATTATATGTTTAAAACATAGTAATATACTCTAAAAGTTTTAAGTAGATAATCACAAATAATATTTTTAAATTACAAGAAAATTATTATTATGTTTGGTTATTTAATAATATGTATTCAAACTTATAAGTAATATTGTGTTAAATTTTAAAATTGTAGGTACAAAATGAACAATTTTTATAAAATTCTAACTCAAAATAATTTAGAAATTTTCTTGATTTTAACGAATTTTGTCAAAGATCTAAATTAAAACTTCCATAAAAAATTATTTTCGATTTACCCTCAACTTTTTTTTAAATTTCCACTAACAGCTACTTACGAGGAATCTTGTATTAAGTTTTCAAGTTTTTTGACACAAATTTTTTTATTGACATAAGTTAAAAAAAAAAAGATGTGTCTATAAATAGTTCAACACAAGTCAAAAGATTTTGAAAATGTTATTGTGTATAGAAAATGCAGATTCAAACATTCAGTTAAAATTTCATAGGTATATCTACAGTTATTTTTTTTAAATTGACATCAAAAATCATAATCAATTTTGTCAAAATCGTTCCTCTTGAAACCTAAAAGTTAAGTTAAAAAGTTAAAATTAACTTATCTTTTAACTGAACTGTAACTTTTTAACTCATTTATGCTAAGTGAGATGCTAATGACATGGAAAGAAAAATACTTTTTAATGCATTTTATATTATAAATATATCAATTATATCAAGACAACTTATTTGATAATAATAATGCTTAGAAAACTTAATTTAATTCATTTATCACCATCATCATTTTTTTTTTATTCCTTTCCTATGCCACAGCTCCAATGCAAAATCATAACTCGCAACGTCCATTAAAGCCACTACTCGTTGTTTGAATACCTCTGTTTTAAGTTATAGATATAAATATAATATAGTACAGACATTTTTTTTTCTTAATAATCATTAAATTCATGTATTTTTTATATCTATAGAATTATTGATTCAAAATCAATGAATTTGTCAAGAATTTCCAAGACCGAAAGTTTTGACGTGACACCATATGTAGAAAGACTGTGGAAGAACAATTTTAAAGACAACCATGGTATGATAGTACAATGCGTCACAGAGTCTGGTAGTCACACACATTTGCTGAGCGTCTTTGATTTTGTATCACCTGAAAATACATTGCTATTGGTGTACACTGATGACGGAACAAGTGAGAATAATGCTATTCTAACTATACGGTTAACTTGATATTGATACTTGTTGCTTTAGTAAAAAATAGTTTAAACGCGTGAGATGTGATCGGCTTCCTAAAACTCGGGAGTTTCCAACGTCTCTAAAATTTTCTAATATTCAAAATAATTCCGAAGAGTGCTACCTATACCGTACTATCCTCTAGAAAGTCAGCATTGTATTAAACATATACCTATTTAATATAGGTATATCGATTTTCTATTTTTTTTTTTTTTTCAAATCTTCATTATTATTCTATCTGAGATTTATTAACTTTTTGCTTAAGCACTAATTTACATACTGAACTATTTAATTGTTGACTGTAATTTTTAAAAAACGGTAAGCTATACGATTGTGACTAGAACTAGTTCATAATTTTTTGGAGCCCTACCGCTCCAACACTACAGCCGGGAAATACGACTCTAAAACGTTTGTTCTTACTGGATCCGTCGAATACAATATTATAGACATTACATGTTTAAACACGACACATAACAATATCATCGCGTCACGATGTTAATCGTTTAAATAATATGTGATGAATCATTGTAATATTATAATAACATTGAATCGTTGTTCAGGCCAGAAAAGCACACTGGAACGGTTGATACAACGGAGCAAACGATCGGCCGACCCTCCGGCGGCGCCGCAGAAGAAAACGAAAAAGAAGAGGGAGATCTGCCAGCGGTATCCGATGTATGTAAATTTCACAGAGATCGGGTTCAGCGATTGGATCCAGGCGCCGGGTGGGTACGACGCTTTCTACTGCAAAGGGGAGTGTAAGTTCCCGTTGGCAAATCACCTTAACGCGACCAACCACGCGGTAATGCAGACGCTGATAAACTCATTTAATTCGTCGAAAGTCCCGCGGGTGTGCTGCGTACCGACCAAGATGAGTACGCAGACGTTGCTCTACAAAGACGACGACGGGAAGTTGGTGGTGAAAAACTACCAAGAAATGACTGTGGACGAGTGCGGATGTAGATGAGGGCGGCGGAGGAGGCGGCGGTGGTATTGAACGACAGTTATTATATAATATACACACACGATAGGCGTAATTTAAGATACAAACTCATCACAAGCACCTGGAGTAGCTGTATTGTAATAATTGGGTGTGTACTGTGTGCACAACCATAAAACCTTGTCACTTTTATTCCGGTCGATATACATGTAATGCACGTAAGAATTCTGCAGTGTGCATGTGCTTGCGTGTGTTTTTCCACATGGTCCAAAAGTGTTTAGTCCTAATGTTTTAGAATAAGACCATTATTTTTTTCGTTCTAATAAAATCGACTGATACCTTAAATAAATATGTATATTGCCATTTATACACACATGTAAATACTCGAACCAAACACTTTTTTTTTTATCTGTAACGTGTTAATAGGTGACACCTAATGTACATAAAAAATTTAAAGTACAACTAACAAATGGGCATGATTGTAAATAGCCCTAAACAAATACAATTTAGTTTTAATGTTTAATAATCATGACCCTTGTGTCTCAAGCATGTTTATATCAAAAAAAAAATACACTAATATTGTCATTACTGGTATACCTATTCCTACTATTTAAATTATTTATTTATATTTTATTTTCGTTGTTTTTTTTTCAATGGTACTGCTTGCTATATTTTAATAAATATAATATTACTATGTGGAGAGATGTAATTGCATTGAAAATTGTGGTTTATTAATTATTTTATTTTTTTAAAAGTCACAGTATCAGTGTGACATTATTCACAAATGTAGGTAGGTCTTATTATTTTTATATTCGAACTATGTAGTAGATACGTGGAGGCAATATTATAGCCATAGGTAGGCGAACATGAAAAGATATTGAAAAAGAGTCAATTTATTTTTAAAATTGTATCATGTATTATAAGTGATAATAAAAACATTTGTAAAAATTGCAAGTATCTTTGGTTATTTGAATTATATCAAAATAAGAAAACCATCCTAATGTCGTATGAACTTTAATTTCAAACGCTTATATAAAATTATATTTTGCTTTCCAGTAATTTTTATTATTATTTAAGGTAGGAAAACGTATATGACTAATTTTGTATGACGTTTTAAAATCTTTAATAGAAATATTTTTATGAATAAGTAAGTAACTTAAAATAATTTACACATTTTTGTGATTTTTACGAATTTTACGAATTTTGTCAAAACACCAACTTCAGACGCTCATAAAAAAATATAGTGAACCTATGCTCAACTGTTTTTTTTTAATTTCCACTTTAAAAAAATTTCTTTAAAACTCTCAAGTATTTTGACAGAGCAAAAATTTTTTTATCGACAATAATTAAATAACAACTAATAAAAATCAAAATTGTCTTATGTGTAATAAAAAACAAAATCGATTTTGTTGAAAACTGATTGTGCTTAAAAATCTCGGTTTTTCTTTAATTTTTTTTTTAGTTTAACCAGGCGCTTTTGAATATAACTTAAAATTTTTACTTTTGAAGATCATTGTATAAGAAAAAAAGATTGTGAGCGAACATCGTCTGGCAGCCTGTACTATTATGAAGCACCTACATGTTATGGTATTACTGTGACTTAAGTAATTTATTTTACTATTGGGTAATAGGACTAAGCTACTACAGTATAAAAAATTAATTTCTGTCCGAAAAATTGTATTTGAAAATGTCAATGTGCATGTATAATATAATAATATTCTTTAAAAGTTTCAAGTATGCACGAATAATATTTGTAAAACAAAATAAGCAAAATCATAATTATTTCCTTAAATATCTAATCTCGCCCGATTTTAAACTTAAAATGTCTATTTAAAAAAACAGTGTTTATATATTACTAGCTGAATTACCCGGGTTCGCCCGTGTGTAGTTTTTGTTTTATAAAAATTAAATTCTTAAATCAACACAAATTGTTGTGTTTTAAAGAATTATAAATACAACAAAAATAATAATAATAGTAGTTAATTTACAAATGATACGTAGTTGCTTAATCTTAATATGGCTTTAGTCATAAGTTCTTAACCATCTTCTCCAGTTATAGCTGTAGTGGTAAAATGTTTTGGAAATTTTTTTGCGCATTTCCCATTAGACATGCATTTGCTGTTTCCATTAAAGGTACCACATGGACCACGTATCATATTTTTTCTAACTATTTCGTGTAAAATTGGATCTTGTATTGGGACAGGAATTTTTCTTCTCAGAACAATTTATTTTTACATGCCGATCAAACACAAAGTTAGAAGAACAAAAAGTTATGGTTGCATGTTGCTATGGAAACCCACAGGTCACCAAACTGTAAAATATATATATAGATATTTAAAATTTTTGAAAAATCGCTAAAATCATAATTTACAAATTATTTTGTAGTTAATCATTTATAAAATGCTTAATTTGTACAGGTACTTAATGATCGCAAATTTAAAAAATGGTCTATCATAAGTATTTCATACTGAAACTAAAAAATAACAATTAAATAATTAGAATAACAATTTTTATCTATACATATTTGAAGTTAAAATTTTTAGGAAATTAAAATACAAAAATAAACAATTAATTGTTCTATTCTAATTAAAAAATGTATGTGTATTTGGAACTTTCAAAGCATATTTGTATTGTACGTATACACGAGATGCCATTTTAAAATTCTATGTTTTCGCTAAAAAATAATTCAACCTATACTGTACTTCTAATTGCACTCTATTTTAATAGCAATAATATCATCAATAAACTTTGTAGTAAAGACAGATAGACTTTCATCGCACAGAATTGTTTACTATACGCAATAGTCTATCGATTATCTGGGCCACTGGGCCCACTATTGACGAGTGACGACAAATACTTACCAATAGCTGATTGATGAAATCACAAAATCATCGAAACTGCATTGCTCTCAAGGCTTGAATTTTAAAGTACCTATACCTACAATGTAACAGAACCGGGCTAAGGTTTGGTCTTTCCAAGAAGATATCGGCTCGGACACCCTTTTAAGATTTTATGTTTTAGATATATTATAGTATAGTAGTATACGAAGTTTTTACATAAACAAAAGTATTATGAATGCAAATAATACATTATTCAAAATCAAATATTATCTTACGCTTGCAAGTTTTATTACTACATAATATTTTGTTCTGCAAGTCTTGTCCCCGTGCACCTAGCCCATCCCCTTCTTTTTGTTCTACTATACTCGGTAAAAAAAATTAAAATATTTCAAGACAGATGACAGTATTTAAATTAACCTGTAAAAATAAACCTAAAAAATAAACTTATACTAAAATAGTCATACCTAGTATATTAGTTGCCATTGGTTAGGTAATCTAGAATGTTTGTTGATTTGTATAATTATTGTAAATACAATTCGGGGTTCTTTTAAAAGTTTAATTTAATATCGATCTTTGGTAAGTTTTGATAGATTAACACTGGTTAATCACATTACAACTACATGCTTAATACAAGGGAGTAAATTTTTTAGTCTTAATAACATTTGGTTCTTAAAAATTCCATCAATTAAACGTACCGACATAGCAATGTTGTGATCAAAAACTATTAAAATAAATACTATGTTTTTGAAACTTTGTTTTTTATTAAAGTTAAAATTGATTATATATATTTCAAACAAGACAACGCTAGAAAACTACATTATTCCTGCGACATAGGCTACTTTTTGTCTCGAAATTAAATTCTGAAAGGGATAAAATAGGGGAAAAATAGGAATAAACTAGTTGCGCCATATGTTGGAAAAAAAAACGTCGGAACCATTATTGTGGTATAACATCGATACTTTTAAGTAGTGATGGATCGAACCCTGATTTTTTAAATCGAACCAAACTTAAACCGAACTTTTAATTATTTTTTCAAACCTGAACTGACCCGAACTAAGAATCATTTTAAGTCGAACTCCAACTCCAACTCAGTATTTTTTATCATGTGCATTGTACCTACAAATTAAATCAACCATTTCGTATTACTTATTCTACATATTTTTAACTTTTAACTAAAAAGTCTATGCAACTGTGTTTAAAATAAACTTAAATAACATTTTTTTTTCATAGGTAGTAATTAGTAGTTACACAATAAATATTAATTATTTAATAATTAAAATAAGTTATGAATAAGGAAAAAAATGAATTTAAATAAAAATATATATATTTATTATTTAGTATTTATTTTTAAAATATATAAAAAAAATAATTCGTTAGTAATTATTTATTATTATATAGAAATACCATTTGAAAATATATATAGCTCCAATAGTGGTGTTTCCTTACTATTCTTGACCGTTGACTCGGGGAGGGGGAGAGGTTCTACCCCCCTCACAACATGTTAAGTATAAAAATGTAAATATTATATTCATTAATTTACTTATATGTAATTAAATAACCCCTTCCCCCACGTTTTAAATTACCGTCAACTGCACTGATACTGTTCGAACACAGACGCATTTTCGAGTCACCGAAGTTTCCTCCCAGCGGCGCATCGGACGCAGGATGTTCTAGCGGTTATTACCTTCTCCTCTGAGTTGTTGAACGTTGCATACCCGCCGGAAACAACAAGGTCGGATGACGTCCAACTGTCCAAGTTGTCTTTTCCCAGCGGTCGAGCTCGACGAAAAGTCTCCGCTGCCGTATAACCTTCGAGCGACCACCAGATATTTTTTTTGTGAGCTTGTGACAATTGCTGCGATTGGCCGGCTGCCGCCAGTACTACCGTCGAGGTTTGAAGATTTTGGTCGTCGGCGAATTATCATTGCACCTATCGACGCCGGACCGTCGTTCGACCGCGCTGAGGAACCGTGCACGTTGCTGTGTTATATTATTGCTCTTTGCAATTGAAGACGCTGTCGCATTTCCAGCCGGGATTTCATTCCATAGTGCAAGGACGCCGATCAGGTCATATTATTATTATTTGCTGTTTAAATCCATGTATACATGATGCTCACATGTCTTGAGTTTTTACTTCTGATTATTATCATTATTATTATAAATTTATAACCGTTGTAGCGCGTACCTAATTTTCCCTGGCGTTTATAAATATAATTATTATTGTCTTACTGTCAAAATATATGCTATTGCGCATTACACCCAATCAGATTGGATATTATACATTTTGTATTAGTTATGATCCTCCTTCCGTCCCCAACATCCCGCAAGTCGTTGCCGCTAACTACACTATTCGCAGGAGTGACTTCAGCGCAACAGCTGTACTACTTATATATAATTTGTTAAATTAATTGATTCTATAGTTGAATAATTAGTATCTTGACCTCGCGTTATGACTACCTATATAGTTTCTGGGAGGTTTAAATTATGTACATTATACTATTATAGTGTACAATTTTAATCATATCTCATATTTGTGATTTCATTTTTATAGAAAATAATTTTAACACAAATTTAAAAATTGTCAACGTGCGTTGATCACAGATTAAATTTTAAAACGTTATTCCAAAATTTTAATGGAATTTGTTATATATACTTTACTATATCAACTAAAACCATATTTATTAAAATTGATTTAATCATGCAGTAAGTTCATAAGTAACTATTATAAAACTGAATTAATAATTTACTTTTTGTTAATTTTTTTCCATTTGGTCACTACGTTAACCTATCGTGTTTACAAGCTCTATTCATATACCTATTTTGTGTTCATTTATTCAAAACCAAAATAAACAATGCTATTTTAACTAGTCGGTAATACCTATTACAATTAAAATAAGGTATTTGGTATAGTATTCGCCGTTCTGAATAATCCAACAAAATGGTGGTAAGTAAAAATATATTTTTAATTCTTCGCAATTTAAATAGATATAAAAATTCGGCTTTGTAGGACAATATTTTTAATGACTCTATACTTTCCCTGTAAACATTGAAATATTGTAGAAGGCAGGCACTAGCACATAGCCAGATATTTTTACATTAGAGGGGCCAACATTTTTCGGCCCCTCCCTATTTTTTGTGCTCCCTACCACCCATTTTCTTATCATAAAAAATCTATAAAAAAAATGTATGCACTGCAGTTTAATAATGTATAGATTAATAAGTATGAGAGGACGCCACACCCGTACGTGTTATCTCCGTCTTACACATGTAGAACAGAGCAAAAACTGTTTTGCTCCGGAAACAATATAAAAAGTCTGCAGTCATAACTCAGAAGAGAAATTTTCACCAAATAAAAAAGAGAACATTGACTGTCACAGTATGTATATGTCACATTTCGTTATTTTTTTTGTTGGTATGAGAACTAAAAAAAAAAAGTTATTCAAGTTTAAAAAGCACAAAAATAATGAATTTGGAAACAATAAGAACTTTTTTTGTATAAGTGATATCAAAAAAATTAAAAAATATTTCACAGAAGTGTTCTCAAACTATATTATAAATCAATTTGGAGTCTAAACTGTCACTACAGCCTGAGTGGTTCAATTTCTTGCAAAAAAGTTTTTGCAATGCTGTACCATTTGCAAGACGGAGACAATTAGACAAGTGACAACACGTTCGGGTGTAGCGTCCTACAAATATTTTTTGACGAATATTTATAAAATAAAATCATGAAATCGGATTACAATTTATATACGATTGTTAATTATACAGAGTACAGAGTACTATAGGCTATAATATACATTTGGGATTCACGACAATTAAACGCCACAATATTAAAAATATTAAAAATAAAATTGAGGAGGTCAGGCCTCCTGAGCTCCCCTTGGTGACGTACCTGCCTAAGCGTATAAGTATGTGTACTAAGTAATATATAATATTATCTATGGACTGGACATTGTAGTCTGTGCTATGGCTCTTAACCTTTTACAGTGCGTATATACCTGTATACAGTATACGTATCTATATACTATAATATGTATATAATATATATATATATATCTACCCACATAATGATTTTGGTTTGGTTAAATACCTACCACAGGTCATTTTTTCCCAAAGTGGGACATTTTAATGTTCTACGAGGACAACGGGACATAAAGCTCAAAGGCTTGTATGGTCACGTCAGGGCCCTATTAGGGCATAGGTACTATAGGCACTGTGCCTAGGGCCTACGAACATTTTAGGGCCTACAAAAATGAAATGTATGGCTACGATTTTTCTGTAATATATTTTTTTATTTTTTTTATTTTAAGTTAATTAACTATCTGTAGATGCTAGTACAACAAATAAAATATTTTGTATAACATTTCTCATATATTTACACTCATTGTTCGTTATCATAATTCGTAATAATTACTTATTGAAATCAGATTGGATAAACCATAAACCGATAAAATGCATACGGTATACGGGTAAACGACTGTGTATGAATGAAACCACGATTACTGTTTAGAGTATTTTAGCAAATAATATAAAAATAATATCGTTTAGGTAATATAAATAATAATTATCGACCGCGGACACACACACACACACACATACACACACACACACACACACACACACACACACACACACACACACACACACACCATTCATCAATATTCAATATATTGTATAATAAGAATAAGAATTATATGCGGCCATACGGGACATGATCAGTTGGCGAGGAAGAAATACAAAATGGTATGAAATAAGTTGTTTTTATGGTTTCTGGTAATTTAATTTTAAATAATAAAATAAAATGTATTTTTAGATGTGTTAAACAACGTTATCATATTATAAAGTTATAATATAAATACAAATATTTGATTTTCATGTTGTAAATATTTTCGTTTTTAAAGGCTTAAAACACCGAGATACAACACTCCTCTACCTCTCCCGAACATTAGGTGTTTAAATCATTTAAATACTGAACACTACAGGAATGTATTAGCACATGGGTCAAGGGAATACGGTAGTGTTAATCCGGGCCTGGATCACGTTATCTTTATACTAATTGTATATTCAACGTTGTACCGATATCACGAGGGAATAGTAGGTATAGCAAATAATATGACTAAGTGAAGCCTTATTTGATTAAGTGCTTCTCCATCCGAGCTTGCCGGATAAGCCAAGCTCTTTTTCTTTAGTTGTTTTTTTCTGTCGATAACACTACACTTATATGTGTTATTTTTTCAATTTACTTTATACAATTTGCATGTTATGCTTGGATATAGATTGTAAATATTGTATTCAATAAAAAAAAAATTACTTGATTTTAACAAAGTTATGTTACTTTCTTATATTTAACTTGGAACTTTCAAAAGTTAAAAATATACCAACTCGACTTTAAGTGTTCAATGTTAACTTGCTGATGGTTCTATACCTGTTTTTGTATTATTATACTATAAGAAATTTAGTAAACATCAAGGGCCAACTATTTTTCGATGTTTGTGGTGAACACAGATCCATGTCCCCTCCCCCTCTTAATCCAGGCCGTGCATGATATTATTTGTAATGACATACTGCAAAGTTAAGTTAAGCTCATACGTTTTGATGGAGTTTAAGATTCTTAAAATGATAAAAATAAATATTTTTGCTGTTCCGAGTTATGATTATTGTAACAGTAGGTACTTTTTTTTGTAGGTATAGAATGCCACTTTTTGTCAAAAAAATACTTTCTTTGATGCAGCTAATTGCTTGTACAATGACATAAAATACCAGTCCCGAGACTAACTTAAGATAAAGAAAAATGTTACTAGATATATTTCCTCTGCAAGGAGAACAAAATAACTGTTGATTATGTTTTTATGACAATAAACAAAGCGTTAAGCAAAATAAAAATAGAAAAAAAAAGTTGTTTCTCTCTGAACAATATATGTACCTATATAAAATTTTTTAAATATATTCATGATATTAAATTTGTCTTAAAACGCGTTGAAATTGTTACAAATCGTGGACAATAATCATAGTTGCATTATGATATTATGGTTTACCTACTTCTATGTTAATCCACAGGACAAAATATCTCATAAAAATGTTTCATCGGAAGTCAGTTCACATGATAAAATTTCGAATAAATCAATGGTTCGAGAATTTTATGAGGAAGCCGTGTAACGGAAACGACGTACACAACACTCTATTGTGACCAAAGATTACTGTGTAGCCAAGAAAAATTACCAAGAGTTTAAGAAGCAAACGAGTATGAGCGAAAGACCACAATATGTTCAAAAGTAGTTAAAACTTATTATTTTTCAGAACAAATAACAAAAATAAATAGGAAACAAGTTGAAGGACCACAATGGTATCAAGAATTGTCTGACCAACAGGTTAGATAACAATATTAATTACTAGACACTCGACGTGTGAAAAATTATTAAATCAATGGTTTTATCACTATGTAACTCAATTTTTATTATTTTTAAAAGTAGAACATAGATAATTTCTAAACACTAAAAGTTATAAAATATATATTTGGTACTATAGCAAAATTGTTTTGGAGTACTTAACTCAAGAACGAATAACCGAAAATACTTTAAATTTGTATCAAATGTTTCTATTACCATTTTCTACACAGAGTATATTTCCAAAACATTTAGACTCATTTTGAGCTATTTTAAAACATGAGAAATTATTTTTTTCTTATTATTATCGATAAATTATTTTTGCATAATCAAAAAATTATGAAATTGAACAGGAAATTTCTCATAAGTAGTAACTAATATGCAATTTAAAAAAAAGTTGATCATACATTTCCAATATATTTTTAAGATCATCTGGCGACTGGATATTGACGAAATTCGTAAAATTTACGAATTTTTTAGTTAGAAATGTATACAAGTTTTTCTTTGTATAATATTGTATAACTAATATTTAAAAATGTAATTCAAGATTTGACAAGTTAGTTTTTTCTGTAATAAATAAACAAACAAAAAAAAAATCACCGAAATGTCATATTAATTTTAATGAGCGGAGCGTTTAAAGTTCAAATCCTTATGACCATGGAATTTTCAAACATAAATTTATTAACGATTTATTATCAAACAATTTTTATTTTGTTGTAATTCAAAAACGAATAACTACGTATTTTCTCTATAACTTTAAATTTTCGATACATTTTTTTTATAATTTTCTATAGTTAAAACATTTTAAAAATATTTCGATTGTTTTTTAGCTAATAACTATAGTTAATAAGACATTTTTTTCCAATCATTGTCTTTAAAAATCTTTCATCTTTCACTTTGTCAATATAAGCTTGAAAATGTAATTTATGGTTTCTCATAAGTTGTTATAATAGAAGTTCAAAAACATTAAACCTACAAAGTCGTGATTTTCCAAGCATTTAAAGTTAATATTTTTACAAAATTAGTTAAAATCAATAACATTGACTGATAGTTGACAGAAGTGTTAAAAATGTATGATATACTATATTTTAATATTATACATAGGGAAATAAAAGGGTAATGTGACTGACTAGTGACTGGTTTATACACAGACACTGGACTTAGTATTTAGATTTTGGGCCGGGAGAAAGAACTATTTATCTTAAACAATATACATACTACATAGGTATATAATATTTTGAGCTTTTGACTCAAAATTAAATTTCCGAGACAGAAAACGAAAAAGTTATTCCATATAGATTGATAGGATAATAACACAGTTCTTACTTAAGAATATAATGTAATTATTCAGATTTCACAATTGTTTTTGAATATGGTTTTTCTACCTTTTTCAATACTTAAATTATATTTTTCTTCCATCAGATTTCTGTACTGGATAAACTTTTTCATAATATGAAAGAAGACTTTGATTTGGCCACAACAAAGAGTACTAGACGGGCACTCAAGGCTTTAGGCGTTAGTACGTTTATCCCACACGCTGTAGTACAAGATGCTTTTCTCAAAGCTGAACTTTATGTGATAGATTTTTTGCAGACAATTAAGGATTATGTGATACAAAAGAATAAGGATAAGATCGGCGATCATACAAGTTAGTTTACTTTCAAATCATTTAGCCGAAAATGATAGTTTAGATTACGGATTAAAAATTTTAAGAGTGCTTAAGTTATTGCGTCAACTCACTCGTTGATTAAAATCTTCAATACATACCTAATCCACCTAAAAATAATATAAATCGTATGTAATTACTAATTATTATTATTCATTTATATTAGATTATTTTTCATAATTGTATGCGCATATTTATAAATTATTATTAAATGTGACATTTTAATGTGACTATTTTTTAACATTTTTGTTTGGTGTATACTGTATACAATATATCAAGTTTAACATAAGCATACAAACATTTTTAAGCTCAATTTGCTATTATTGTTTCAGGCAACATAAAAAAAGATTATTTGCCAGAAGAACGGATTTTAATGTGTAGTATACTTCACTTAGCATATCCATGTTTTATCAAAAGACTAAATTATTTTCTCAAAGATGCCGTACCTGAAAAAAATCGTAAGAACTTGTTATTGTTGTAAAAATGAAATCAACTAATATTTAAGATAAAAAAAAAATACTGAAATATGATATTTGATTATGACTCATTTTCCCCCCATAATATGTATGGACATATTATCTATTATCTTTATGTCTTTTTTCTATTATATTATGTTATATATTTTATAAATATTAAAACTTACTCATATCACTATATTAAATCATATCACATTCAGTTTTACTAGAACAAAAAGTTAAGCTAGGTACATAATTGTTTTATTATCCATAATGCTTAAATAATTTATAATTTTAAAACATTGATAGTTATTATTATTTAAATTCACTATTTCGTACTTGCACATGTTTAATATAATATACCTTATATCAACAAAAACCTTTGCTACAGATTAAAATCTTGAATTGAAATCGGATGATTTATTTAATAAAATCAATATTTGAATTTGTATCAATCGTACGTATCGGTCCTAATTTTTCAACTATTAAGTTATAATAATGTAATCGAAATCATAATATAATTTGCATTAGGTGTACTAAAAATAACCGTCCGTTGGGCATAGTATCTTAAATAACTAAAACCAACTATTTGGAATATAAAATTATTATATTGATTGGATTCTTGATTTCAGTTAAGTACATAAAACTTCCAAAATCAACAAGATCCACAAAAAAGTATTCATCTCCCTATTTAGAACCATTACCCCAACCTGATCACCCGTGGAGTAAAGTGAAAGAGGTCAAGTTTCACAATATGAAAGTAAGAAAACAAAGGATGCGTAATAAAATGAAAGCAATACAACTGCAACAACAGTATGACAAGGAGGTAAATAATAATCATCACACTCGCAACTCGCTCGGGACAATTAATAATATCGTAGACATGGCATTTAATTTTTATAATGTTGTCGATTCTAAAATTTAAATATACTAAATTTTTAATCATATAATTTCATAATTTTTCGGTTAATTAATATTAGCGTTATTTACAATTTCACATTAGGTAGAATAATAAAAAGATGGACCGCTCTGCTGTACGGTATGGTATGTCATTGTAATATATGTGTTGTGGTTGAATTAATTGATAAATCACTGCATACTAAAAACTATTCTGGACGGAGACGTTGTGTCATCCTATCATAATTGTATAATTAATAAAATTAAATAACTTAAAAATTTTTTTAATAAAAATCAGAAATATCTCATGGCTATAAATAGCGTAACTTTCCAGTAAACTATTTTTTCTTATAGATTGAACAATTTGGGGGGGAATCTTCTAAAAAATGACTATGTTAGCCATGAAATAGGAAATTTTTATGAATATCTAACTGAAATCTTATTTGTACATTATTGAGATTTTGATGAATTTTGTCAAAATTTTAAATTCAAATGCATATCCAAATTAAAGTGCCAATGTATCTTTAATATTTTTTACTGCTCTTGACATAACTTATAAGGAACCATATATTTAAAAAAGTTTTTTCGTCGAAAATAATTTCTCGTGGCATTAATAGCTGAAAAAGATGCAAAAAATGTAAAACATTTTACAATGTATGAAAAATGCTAATATAAATATTTGATGAAAAGTGTTGAACGATTATTAGTTTTTAAGATGCATCAAAAAAAAAAGTCAATTTTGGTTTTTACCACGCTTTCAAAAACTACTGGAAATTTTAAATTTTGACCTCCCGTATACAGCAACCATATTAATTTTTTCCATCAGAAACTCAAAAATCTTTAAAATAAGTTAAATGTTGATAATAAACAGAAAACAATTTTTAAAAAAAATTCACGTCATTATAAATACAATACATTTATCAATACATTTATCAGTAAGCTAAGAGTATAAAATAATTACATGACATTTCGAGTCAAGTTTTTAATATAAAGCGATTTATAGCAGCTATATATGAATTATACAGGAATATTTTTAATATGTTCGATAGTCTTAGATCCAATGTAGCAATGTCTTTTCAATAATAATCTAAAATATAACATCTATAAATACCTATGTGATATACAAATACATTTTTAGAAAATTTGAAGCTTTATGCCTAAACAGTAAGTGGACTAGAATTCAGTCCACCCACAGTAAATAGTCTTTCACTTGTTAAAATGAAAATTCTTTGTTTGCAGTCAAATCATATTATGTGTGTTGTGTGTATATGTTTTGAAAAAATAAAATTAAAAACTTATATTAATATGACTTAACTTACACAGATCGAAGACGAAATAAAGACAACAATGCAAATGAATATCACTTGCCCCAAAAACTCAGTGAATAAAATGTTTTGCAAACCGCCAGTGTTGAAACAGATTGAGAATGAAAATGAAAATAAACTAATTCCGGAAATCGGGATTCCTACAGTCGGAGCCAATAATTATGGTATGATTAAACTGCAGCGTATAGTTTAATAAATAACTATCTACAAAAATATAGTACAAACAATTAAGCACCAAATTAATTTTAAATTATATAGGTATGACTGTATTAACTTTAGCATTTAATTATATATTTAATGTAGGTATCATGACCAAATTTAAAAATCACGATGAATATAACATTACCCGTAATAGCAGAGAATATTTTTTTTATAGGTAATTTTATTATAACATTTTCAAGAAACTTTCGGACTAATGAAATCTATTAATCATGTCTGATGAAAAAATTGCCTTTCTCAGAAATTCAAATTATGTTAACTGTTATTTAGGTATTTCCAACATTCCATGATTGAATTGAAGTAATTGTTTTTTTTAACATTTTTTTTCCTGGAAGAAGTTTTAAACTTACAAATGAACTTTTTTAGCTTATTCTTACTAGCTTTAGTTTTGAAATTTGAAAAGTAAGTAGTTTCCTACTAAATAAAATATGTTTTTATCAACAATATGTGAGTAATTTGATGTAGGCCAATGTGGTCATCATCATCCACTTATATATCAATTTAAAGTTCAAGTGAAAATGAGGAGTACTCAAATAATAGTTATAAGTTATCAAAAATATATTTATTAGAAGAAAAATAATCAAAACGTTGATCAGAGCCGTGAATATGAGTCATCCTCATAAGTTGTTTTTATTGGAAATTAATAAAATAGTTAAGTTAAAAAAAAAAGTAAGAACAACTTTAAACCTGGTAAATGGATCGTCGGTGGGTGCTTTAAAAGTACGATAAATTGTTAAAATTTTTATTTCAGATGAATAATTAAAAAAATGTTAATAATGGGTGGCCAATTACAGCTATTTAGATATAAACTAAATACTAATATAACGCAAACAATATATTAGTAATAGTTTTCAAGCAATGCTAGAGAAAAAATGCTAAGTCTACAAATTGAAGGGTCTTTTCGTGGTTAAAATGTAAAAGGTAAATGTATCAAATATTTTATGATAAAAACAAAAATGCAAATATCTTCAGGGTCGCGTTAACATTCCTCATGCATCGAGACTCTCACTAAGTTTTAAGAGCTCTGCAGAAACGTCGATTCTTCTAACTTTTTATTATACAATAAGTTGGTGCCCCAATAGTAGACCTGAGGAAAATATACAGTTTCTAGAAGAAAATGTACAAAAGATGTTGATGGGTATAATCTGGTGTAAAAATAACGCAGCTTTAGGCCGTTTTTTAATGTTCATCCAGCTTAAACGGAATACTTTTACTAAAAAATATTATTAATGAATGTGCGTAGACGAACTTTATTAGAACATCTAAAAACTGTTAATGGCATTATTTTGGCTACATATCGTTTGCAAATAATTAGAATTATTAGACGGAGATGAACATTGGGAAAATATACTCTTTCAGGAGCAGCTATTTCTGAGCCTGCTGCAACACTTAAAGAGTTATTTGAGAAAATTCTTTCATTTTACCAGCTATCAGAGTCAATCGAATAATAAAAAGAAAATTATAATCATTTGTATGAAGTTATACTAAATAGAGTTAGAATATAAAATATTGACATTACAATGATAAAATACACAATGAGGGGCTAACCTTGATAGAGGATAAAATTCATGAGAAGTGCAAAATATCGCTTACAGATTTTGAACTCCTCGTACCGATTTGCAATAATCCTAATGATATGAACCATCTAGAAGAAGTTTTCCTAAGATATGGTTGAAACAAATTAAATAGTTATATTTCTGAAAATGAATCCAAGTTAGTCAGTGATCAGCTTTCCTGCTTATAATTCTGTTCTAAAAATAGTTTTCGCTGATAAAAGTTGTTTTTTAGATGCTCCTGGTATAACTTTGCAAGACTTTTGTTACCAATTAAAAACTAGCATAAGTTGGGTGAAAGGAAAAAATATCCATAGCCTTTGCGTCATCAGATATTGCTGCTTTAATATTGACAGGAGTATGGCTCATTCCACTTTTTAACTACCTACCCTTTACGGTATCACTTGACAAATATAGCGTGTGTTCTATCTTTAATAATAGCCCATCGGACAAAGTCTTCTACAATGTCAGCCAAATTCGGAGGTATGTGTGTAGCTGAGATACAGATACATATTTTAAAGATATAAGAAGCTCAAATTAAGTTTTTATGAGTAGAATTACTTTGGAGTTTTCTGGTAGTTTAAGAAAAACATCGCCTGTAATAGTTAAAGAAACTAAATCAGATTCTATTAAATTCTGCATTTCTTGAGGAAGAAGCTGTATGCCAACACGAGGAGTCATTTAGGTGGAAGAAACACAAATTTCTAAAACCAAAAATTGCCATTGATTAAGACCTTGATGACATAGTGACTAACATTGAATACCTGATGTTTAGAGTATATTCAGATGTGGCCAACATCGACCCATAAAATTATCAACGGATGTGTGAAGGGGAAATTTTAGCTGCCATGAATATAAGCGTTGACCGTGTATAACCGTCAACGACAAAATGATGGGTAAACTCCCAGGTGACAGCATAACTACCTTGCCATTGATACCGTCATTGACCAAGAAGATGCGGTGAATTAAGCTGAAAATGTATTAAGTTCATCGAATCCTTGTGGGCTACCCCCAAATTTGTTCAAACTAAAAACGACCACTCTCATTTTTTAATTACGTAACATTAGACCACCAAATTTATGTAAATGGAACTAGACTTCGTGTGAAATTTATTAAATTCAATGTTTTAGTAGTTAAATATTTAACTTTTCTAGCAGTTGGGCAAACGGTACTATACCTCACAGTCAGACAATACCTGCCGATTTACCATTTAGTTTTAAAAGGTTACAATTTCCTGAGAGGGTATCGTTTGCAGTCAATATAAATAAATCACAAGGAAAAACTTTTAAACATGTCGGAATATATTTAAGAGAGTACAATTTTTTTCACGGATCTTTATAATATGTTATCTAGATCGGTTTGCGGCACAACTAGTGTATTATAATATAACACGAAAATAAGACTAGAAATATTGTGTATTATATTAATATTTTATTATTTATTTAGAAATAATCCGATTTCTTTTGAAGTAAACGTTTCCTGTTGTACTCACGGGGAACAGCTATTATATTTGTTATTATATAACACTGATATTGTAATTATCATACTTCTTTCATGTGTATTTTTTGAACGTAAATTAATAAAAACTAGTGTCTAAATTATATGCATTAAGAGTGATGAAATATGAAAAATATGCTTATTGTCTTGAAAATAAAATAAAAATCAAACTTAAACTTAAACTTAAATATTTTCTTTAGTAGTAAGTATTTTCTTAAGTATTGAATTTAATAACGGATTGAACAACATTTTTATCATAATATCAGAAAGTATATTAGGCATCGTTAAGGGCTACGAAGTGCTCGGAGACAGCTATTATTTGAACAAAACTTCAAGTGGATTATGATACCACGTTTTAATCATTTCAAAGTCTCCTTGCCTTGGCATTCCACTCATTTCGTTCCACATCTGACCTATCAAAATAAAAAAAATCACCACACAATTCGTTGATGGTGATTTCAAATCCAAGCTGTGTGATGGTAGTCAATAACATAAGTATAACACCACGACAGCTCTTTTATTACACTTAAAACTTAACCGAAGATTATGTTAATACGTTGGGTTATATTTATACGACTTGTTTTATAGTATCCCGTGTATGACTATTCGTTAAGTTTGATAAATAATTGTATGCGTTACGTAGGGTTAGTTAACGTTGTTAATCGGATACCACACACACATTGCAGTTTAATTCGTTATACCTATTATATTATTACTTGACCTACCCGCGATTGAATAAATACAAATTAAAGATAAATGGTGATTCAGAAGATGACGTGATGCAGAGCAGTGGAGTTGTGCAGACCGCAATCGGTGAGGAGGAGTGGCAGGAGCAGGAGGATGCGTACCCCATGACCAGTCGAGAGTTCATGGAGAGCGAAACATGGCGTTCCCGTCGATGGTCGACTGCTTCTGGCGAGACGATAGTCACGGAAAATACGTCCACGCCAGATCACGCCAGACACACACAACCGCCTACGCAAGACAGCTGGTTGAAAAAGCCATTTGGCTGGCTTAATGCTGATTACAAGGCATCAAACGTTTCGATCGATTCGATCGACGAGTCGTCGACCAGCACCCTATTTGAAACGAATCCGCACAAGACGATTGTAGTGATCGATTTCGACAATTCGGTGGACCCGTTCGATTGCGACGTGGCCACTGGGTAGGTGATACTGTGTCTTTAAAATCTATACTGTTTATGCTTGTAAAATAGCTAATTATATCTAGTACCTACCCTGAAACAAGTTTGGTTAAATAACTAATAAAGTGGCTCGTTTCTAACCATTCTTTTCTAATATGACCACCAACACTGCTCGTCATTAGAGATGAAGGCATATTTTTTTACGTACTGTAACATTGCTACTCAGATCTTAAAATACAAATTTTGTACTGGTCTGTGTCCTATAATATAACGCAGAATGTCTGGATATACACATAATAACAGTATATTTAATAGTAATATAATGACCAGTACGAGTGTATTGACCCGTCGTAATAGTTAGTTAGGATATTGGATAGACAGAAATAATAAATGGAATTGTTTTATACATTTATAAATAAGTGTTTTTTTATAATTCTGATCACAATTTATTAAATTAAACATAGAACTGTTAACAGGTATTAGTTAGATTTTTTGAATAAACAAATGAGATTATGCATGTTCAAAATTATTTTCAACTGCTGTATCAGTAGTAGCCAAGGGTCCCCTATGTAACTATCTATTACACCGAGAGGTAATCCGCTATCTAAGCGGATTCTAACTTGTGATTCTTTCCTGTCCCACGATCACGCATTCCAACGTATATGAATATTCTATAGTAATTAATCTAATATGAGCATAATATAACTAAGTACTTTGTCACTATACAACAAAAAATTTTTTTTTGTACACCAATATTATGGTCGTGGCACATAGCCCTCTTTATAGGTTATTGGCGATGGCACATAGCTCAGTTTTTTGAGTCTAACTCAATTTTTTTTTTTTGGCACTTAGCCCGTTATTGATTTCCAGTCTTCAAATGTCAGTACCAACTTAATTGTTGGCGATAAATCAAGACCCGGATAGACTTACGGCTGCCATGTCTAATTGGCGTACGTTTTGGTTTCAGGGATAGTGGAAAAAAGCTGGGTGGTGAACAGGAATATGACGGCGAGAGCGACGATGACGTACTGCTATCTGAAACGTTGCGTGACCTCAATGTGACTAAAATGGATGCGAACGAGGAGAAAATTTGTCAGATGTTCCAAAACTACAGCGTCAACGTAGCGACCGGCAACCAGCAGCAGCCGTCAGTGTTTTCGTCTGGAACCGGTATTACGGTGGCCAAAATTGATCGGACCAAACATGTAGACACACCGTCGATGAAAGGCGTGCAAGGCTCGCCACAACAGTCAAAGGCACAGGTGGCCGTCGAAGATACCGAAAAAGGACAGTCATCGGTGATTGACCTAGAAAAGAAGATGTCTGTACATGAATTTTTACCCAATGATCAGGGCAGCCTCGAAGTAGCTGCACTAGTTGACGACGGTGTCATCGATAATTCTGCAACGATCAGAGACTGCAATCATGACGTGTGCTCTGATGAACGAAAGCCGCCTCTTATCAACGAGGTCAGAGACACTGTGTTTTTATTTGGTTCCACTTTCCCCCCTGAGAGTAACAGCTTGTTATGAATATTAATTATTTACAGTAAAAATTAATTCTATGTATGGTTATAATTAATATTCTATTGGAAATTAAATGGGAAAATCTAGTTCAAGCTTATTCAAAAAAAAAAAATAGATGTATGGGTAGCAATATTATCAACTGGAAACTTTCAATTAAATTTTATAGCAATCAACTCAGTACAATACAATCAATACATAACGATAACTTGTATAAAAAACAAAATTAAATAAATTATAAATACATTTATTTAATAGCTTATCAGAAAAAGTTTGTATTATGATAGTATTACTAAAGTGCTATCCAAATATTATCTCTTCTTGTTACTTGTTAGTCTAAAAACAGTTGTGCTTTGTGGTCACTCGGGATTCTACTTCAATGTCCATGTAAAAAATTATGTAGCCATGTAAGTGAAGTTGTGATACATCAATTCTGTGAAATTTCTTGATACCTAAAGACAATATACGCATTTTTATATTTCTTGGTTGCCAAAATATGTGTTTTCATTATAATTTCTATACATACCTATTATACTTTTGAAGATCCAAAACTAAGCACTTAGATAGGTGTATATAAAAAGTTGTTAGGTTCTACTTATTGTTTTTATGTTTAATACGATATGGCAATATTATTTAAAATGTTTCAACTAACGTGTAAGATACTAATTTTTTTATGTATTTGTAGGACGGCTCCGTAAACATGGCACGACTCCACGCTATAATTCACAAACTACCGAATTGGAAACAGCTAAGGGTAAGCTAATTTCACCAGTTCTAATCGATATTTATTAAAACAAAAATCTAATGCTAGACAAAACATAATCATAATATGGTAGGTACCATATTTTTATTTCTCAATAATTCAGGTGTTCAGAACGTTCACTTAAAAAATGACTTCGCTCACGCTTAAATTCAGTCCTTAAAAAAGTAACTTGTTCAAGTTCACATTCGTGATTTTTCAAATAAATGCGTCCATATTCATTGAAAAAATAAATGAGTTCATTTAATTTTTTAATTTTTCTAACAGGAATAATAAAAAGAAAATATAATTAAACAACATATTTTGAACAAATATTTATTAAATAGCAAATAAAATCGTTAATTTTCATTAAAATAAAAACGTCGTTCAGGTTCATGCTCAATTTGAAAAAAAAGACTGATGTTTGCGTATTGTTCCCTAAATATGGACATGAATGAGTGAACGTGCTTTCATGATCCACATTCTTTCTAAACACTGAATAATTCATATAGCCTAACCTAACCTAATTATTTTAAATTATAAACTTTGACCTCTATTGATTAATGACAGGAAAATTAATTTGTTGCTAGATAAGCAGTATAAATACTATTAAATAGAGCTTTTTTATACCACATCACTTATGTTATCATATCCACAATGCCACATTTTACACAAGGACCGACGCTGTTACACTACTCCTCCACAAGTCACGCAGTTAAACCTAAACTCATAATTCACCAACAAGGCACCAACACTACCACCGTCAAAAATTATACATGGAATTACCTCTGCATCAAACATGTGTCTCCTCCACCGTGCAGCTTTCCACAAAGGTCACTTATCGAAATAAAATATAGCTCATAGATTCTTGTGATAGTGTAACTTTCTGATTTTAATATTTTTTTAAAACGATATATTTTATAATCTTAACACTTGTTGAACTTGTTAGTAGAGCTATTGGTTTTCTTAATCACATTTCTTTGTATGGGAGCTTCTGAACTTAATTTTCATTGTCATGTTTAACTTGTTAGCTGTGATATTAATTGTGATTGGCATTTTCTTAAATTGATTAAATTAGCATTTCTGTATACATTTATAAATCACGGAAAACAAATGATTGGTACCAAAAATATGGTGCACTATTGTTTATATTTTGAAAAAAATTCTAATATAGTGCCAAATGTCAAAATATCAGTCGAACAAATTTTATTCAATTAAAAATAAAAATACCTATACAAAAAATAAATGAAAATATAAATTTAAATGGTAAGTTTTTGTAAGCTAACTTTTCTGTGGAGCTAAACGGGTTATAATTTTATCTACGAACTGACCCATGATTGAACTGATATAATCTTTTTTTGCATAGCTTTACATCGTCTTTTTGTTAGACTTGAGCTACAAGCTTGGGTGTAAACATAACATTGTATATTTTAAAAATTTCTAAAATTTTGAAAATGTTTGGATAAGAGTCAGCCCCGGCCACTGGAATTTTAATATAGCAACTTACCCAGAATGTCACTGTATATATATTTTTTTTATCTCATTACATAATTTGAATTAGATTAGCTGAACCACACCATAATAGGTTTTCCTACGCATCCCCAAGTGACACCCTGCTATAGGATAAATGGATTAGCAGGATGACGCTGGAGAATAGGTAGAATCGGAGCGTTCTCTAGTTGAACAGAGTATATTTAGGTTATCAAAGGTTTATCGTATTGACTGTAAGATTTGTGTTGAGTGTGATTCATTTTTACTATTGCAATCTTTGTGAGAGAATCGTATATAAGAATAAATAATTGAGAGATTGTCAACATGTAAAATTAAATTACTAATGTCTGTAATTGGTGAGACAAATTGCTGAGTTATGGATAGATGCATACGTATCATCCAGAGCTTTACAATTAATTGTATAGCCTACTTTTTGTTGAGTTAAAGTATTTAACTACCTACGTCATCTTTTAAGTGACTTAAAAATCCCACAAAAAAGTCATTATTTTCACATAGTTTATAACTCGATTTACACACGTTTTATGAATCATCTTTGAATAGAATAATTTATAAACTTACTGAAGTTAAATTTGATTAAATTTTACGACATTTGTGAAGGAGGAGTGATGGTGACATGGCTGCGGCCAGTGGGAGTTCTGTCTCTGTGTGGTTGTGCTCAATGTTATGCTCACAATGGTGTGATATCGTACAAACATTTTTTATACTATTTATGCGTGTCTATCTCACTTTCTAGTTTTAATATTAAAATAGTCAAGTACTTTATACTTAGCTCATTTGTATTTTTACTATCTTCATTAAATAATCAACATATTATTTCCACCAGACTTATACAACACATGCCTGAAGCACAATATTATTTGTGTGTTTTTAAATATTAAGTATTATAATCTCATCTGCACAGGTGGTATTGAAATTGATGTCAATTATGGGTGACCCTATAGCAAGTTTTCCGGAAATAATCGAACTGAATAAATTGCGGAGGTGGTACGAAATACGGATAAACGGAAACCGACACATTACGTCGAAAATGAAACGTTAGTAAAGTTCAATTACTATTATTAACATTATTATCACACACAAATGCACAATACAATTAACTGACCTTGTAGGTTACTTAAAAGTCCGTGTATAATAAATATTTATTTTTATATTTGTAATTTGTAGCGTAATATTTAAATTCAAAATTGTTATTTAATGTTTTAGAAAATCTGATGATACAGTCGATAAACGCGTGGAGTGTTCCACGGACCAAACTGAAGTCCGTTCAAGTACCACAGAACCCAATACAAGGTAAGGGCAACATCGGTGCGATGAAAATTACTTGGGATCGAGTGGACGAAATGAAACGCAAAGTGAGTATCATTTATAGATTTACAAGTGGAATATACCCATTACCCACAGGTTTTTACATAATTTAAGTATATGAGTATATGACGTATTATATGTATAATATGTCAAGTTTGGGACTACATGATTTTGAATCATGTCCATGTACTATTATGTGTAATAAAATTATAATAATAATAATATATAATAATATCATCGTTAATAAAATAATACACTCTATAGCTGAAAAGTACATTTTCCAGGAGATAAAAACAAACTATAAAATAAAATATTGGAAATCTTTTATAGGTAAATATTTACATATGTTTAGAAAAATTATTTTTCCTACTATTAATAATTATATTATTCAGTAATTATAGTTAGGGTATACATGGTGTTGTCTTTAATATTCAGATAAAAATGTTACGTGATATTCATTCTTGTTTTCAAATTTCAATAGCGTATACTATGTACCCTTAAAAAACGATTCTTTATCATTGAAATTTATTTTATTTTATTTTATAAAAAATTATTTTAAAACAAAGTGTCCACACTCTGTTCAGTGAGAAAATAAGTTGCAGTCCAACGAAAATCGATTCTTCTGTGCAAGTCTCAAATCCCCAGTAAACACTCAACCGTAGTATAACATAGAAGGGTGTTGAGTGGGGGGTGAGTAGAATCGCATTGTTCTCTTGCTAGACAGAGTTTAGCAGAAACAATACAATAAAAATAAAAAACGTATACATCTGTAAGTTCAATCTTGAACATGAAATCAAAATGAACACAAATGTAAATCAATTGGTTGTACATTATTTAGCTGTAATGAATGATCGCCTTTTACTTTGGATATTTTTAAAATTTACTCGAGTTGGTTATCAATAATTTAATAGTTGAAATATGTTTTTGTCTTACTTATTTTTTTCTGTACTGAATGTCGATCAGAATATTTATGGACAAAGTTTAGTTTGTATTCTATAGTATCATTAAAAAAAAAATGTCTGAAATAATAACTGCAAGGAAATAGGCGAAGAACCTCGAGCCTTATCCACATCTAGTATTGGTATAAGAACAGTTTTACCGACTTCGAGCTTTTTTTTTTATTGTACACATCATTATAATGCCATTGACCAGTCAATTTATTATGAGCCACCCAAGATGTTAATATTTTAGATTTGTTCAACGTCCTTATTCACTAGTTCAATTTCTCCTCGGGTCTAGCTGTGACGAGGCATGCCAAAGACAGTTTAATTATCAACCTACATTTTGTTTAAGTTTTTTATTATCGAATTTACAAACTCACGACTGTTATCAGAGTGGATAATTAAGGGTGCACCAAATATTAATAAGTATCTATCAAATAAAATACGATTTTTTGGCATCTTTTGTCTTCATAGGTTTAAAATGAAAAATGTAGTTAAAAGATCTTCTAAGTTCATTATATAGATATAATTATTGTAATTTTGCGCTTCCGAGTCAGTTTAATAAATTTGCATCTTTGAATTAAATGCGGAATGTATAGAACTGGTTTTGTCACAAGTGCTCTTTTTGGAATCGATTTTTTTACTTAAAATTAACCGGGAAGTCTAAATATGAAATAACTACCTCCGCTGTCATATTTCAACATTTTGTTTTTAACATAGCTATCGTCATATTTCTACCACCACTCCCTACTGCCAATAAATGAGAATAACTCCGAACAACACGTCCACTGGGACCTAATAAAAATAATAATTTTCAACAGTGGGTTTAATTAATTTTTCTTTTTCACCTATTGTCAACATCATATTTATGCATATGCATATTTATTTTTCGTTTTTTGTGTGTTCCAATTTTCCATTCCTTTAATTTCTGAATCTTATCTTTGTATTTTCTGAACTAAAATACAATAAACTGTATCCTCTTTTTTTAATGGTTATAATTGTTTTCATTTCTGCTATAAATGTTTACAGTGATACTATATACTTAAATACTTTAATTGAATTAAACTTTTTTTTTTAATATTTCATTAGTAACAAGTACCTAGTAACATAATTCATAACTAATAATTATAAAATATGTTCTCGTCCTACACACAACTTGATAGAAGCTAACTAATAAACCATTTTATATTCATACTTGGGTTATCGTAAGTTGGGTTTTCACTTGTTCATCTACTTTCAGCTTTATATATTTTCAACTAAAGCTTTGGCACAAATACGTTTATCACTAAACATTCTTGAAAGTCATTTTCACTGTTGTAGAATTTTGATGATTTTTTTCATTTCCCTGTATACATTAATAACAATATCTTCTGAACTTTATAAATTGTCTACAATTTAATTTTCTGTATTGTAATTGATATAATACACTAGTGTTGATAAATATTAATGAAAGATTTAGATCCGTACGGAAAACTTTATAATTTATTAATTTATTGTTCACCTCATCTTCACATTCTTCTAAAACCTATTAATAATCTATTAAGTTGTATACTAAAACAAAAAAGTACAGTATAATCACTTGAAATATTTAAGTACAATTGTAATAGTATTTTATGAATTATATTAAGCTCATATTTGATTTTTTGGGGATAAGAGGTATTGCTTTATCAACGGGTAACAATGATGTAATATATTATGTTTTAAGACAAATATTATCGAAGGGGTATGTATATTAAAATCACTGAATATTGCTTTTTAATATTGTTTTAATAAGAAGGTTTTCTCCAAATTCAGCGTTAAATTTAATAAATTACTAAAAAAATATATCAATGCATTTTTCAGCTTTTTTTAAAATTAAAAATTTATTTCCATTTATTAACGGATGATTCCGACTATTTATTGTTTTTTTAATTTTATTTTTTTGAACTCTTTCAATAGTCGAACTCATATACTTATTAACAGCATCGATCAAAATATAATTAAAGCAATATTAAAAACAACATCAACAAAAGTTTAAAATTCAATAATTATGTCTTATTAAGTTATTATATTATTTTAAATTTCATGAAAATTAAACAAAGTTAAATATGTGTAGTGTAAAATAAGTGTATGGTTTAAAACACTTATAATATGGAGGTTGTTAATATGTATAAATAACTACGACTATTTAACAAAAATCGATTTTTACTATAGACAATTATTACAAAACATTCATTCAAGTAGGTACTTATTGGCTATTATGTGATTATAATATACCTAAAATGCATGCAATATTGATTTTTAAATGTGGTTTTGTAATTTTAATGCGATAACTTAGATCAAGAAGACTAAATCTGAGTACCTTTTCAAACTCAAAAGAGTGTCGATCAACAACGCGAGGACAATGTACCAGACTATGTATAATGACTATTGCAACACCCGTTTGTGCAAAAACTTTAAACAGTCGTATTACGATTATTTCCCAGCAAAAGAGGACGATTGCTTGTTCGAGTATGTCGCCGATCGAAAGATCACCAAATAACAACTTTAACTTAAAAACGTGATCACTGTTGATGTGTTGCCAATACCTACATTATCATGATATAATATGTTAGTATATATTTTACAAAATCATGGAGTTGTGAAATGGCTTCTTTTTATTTGAATCTGTGCAATCCAAAAAACGTATCCACAAAAAATGTTTTTAAAAAAATGAATAATTATTGTCATTATGTAGGTATCATGAAAATAAAAAATAATAATTTCGTTAAATTAAATAAAAATAGTACCCATCAAATATGGAATTAAGGAAGATTCGGCAAAATGGAGACATGGAGCGGGTAATGGGAACTACATGTGTGATTTATGTGTACTTTGTAGGTTCACTTGGATTATAAGCTAATGGAATATAGATACCAGTAGATACGAACGCGGTCAAATCGCCGTCGTTGAAGTATAGCAATAAATTTAGCCATCGTCATTTTGACGTAAAGTTACTTTGAGTTAGACAAATATGGGATAGAATTCATACATGTACATGATATAATAGTAAATAGTACATAAATAGTACATGTACAACTCTAGTGCACAACCGCAATTTGTCACACTGGAAATGTTTATATAAAATATTAAGATAATAATATAAAAGTACTTTTATTTGATAATAAATTGTGATAGATATACCTAAATAACACAGAATAGATGCAATTTTATATTTTATTCTGTGCGCATGCTAATATGCATTATTTTAATTTCAACAAAAATGAATAAAAAAAGTATATATTAAATAAAAAAATAGTTTCTATTCAACTAGAGCGTAATTTGGGGGGGGGGGGGGAAGCAAGGGAGGACCTGGCATGTGTATATTAATTTGTTCAATTCTAGATTGGAAACTATAGTTTTGGGTCGGTTTCCGGATCCAAGTGGGTTGGGCACCATTAACCAGCCATAGAGCCATTACGGGCGTGATAAAACATTCAAATCATTATGAATCGAAAATGATTGATAAGTTATTTACGCTAAGACGAGTAGAATAGTACTCGTAAATTGTACTGTTTGCTGCACACTCCTCAATCTATCGTTTCCTCAACGTATTATCTGAGAATGCTGCATTATTAGAATAATAATATTAATTGCTTGCTTTAAATGTTTTGCCTTTCTGTAAGCTTATTCTAAAATCATCTATAGTTATGTAAGCAAGATTAATATGGTAATTTGTATTTCAACTTACTAGGTATGTTTTGTAAAATAACACCAACACAGCAGCACACGAGTAGGTAGTTCCCATAAAAACTACAAAAATTGAGTATACGTTACTCCTTACGAGGGCTACACCACAGATTAAATAAAAACACACCTTGAATTTTGAACTCTAAACCAGGGACGTCATTTCAGTTTTTTTTCTGAGTGTGCAAACTTTTAGGCAGGCCAATTTTGACATTTCACCAGACCATTAAAAAAATATATATTCATATACATAAATGAGGGTAACCTATGCAAACCTATGTAAATATTCTTTCTTTACCTTTTATAATTACAATTGAAACTCAAACGACTAATGCAACTTTTAAATACCTAGCAATTCAAAGAATTAAAAGCTTATAAGCAATTAAAGCAACCAGCTAAAGCCATCTCACTAATATTTGAAAAAAGAAGGCAAATAAGATATAATCAATACACCTAAAAAACTAAAAATATACAAAAACGTGAAAAAATTTATATTTTATTTATATTACCTCTGTATGAAATCATAAGTTAATTATGTCGGCACATTGGAGTATTGATGGCGGGACAATTGTTAACATTTTTTAAGTTATTGGTACCGTTGCACACCCTGCTCCCCCCTTCCCCAATGCCACCCTGCTCTTAACGGCTAGATATCGTTTAGTAATAATTCGTTTTATATGTTACCAGTCATATTCATACGGAAGTTCGTTATCAGTGATCACTTATCACAATATCATTGATTAATCAAAGAAATGTTTTACCCTTACACAACTTTTACACGTTAATCAATGTTATATATTTTGTAATAAAAAACAAAAAAGTATACTCGATAAAACTGCCGCTCCTATAACTTTTAAAAATTTGCTGCCGGGAGCATTCACCCCCTTTGCCCCCCTCCCTCCTAAATGCGTCACTGAGGACATGTCATACAAGTAGTAAAGTACAGAGTAGTGTTATACAACGTGTGGGTATATATGTAGCTTCAATATAGTTACTATGTTAACTAGAGGTCATCGGACAGCATTATTCCCACCACACATTTGGAATTTACACCTACGAGTTTTGAATGGTCACTATAGGACTAACAACCACGCTGAAACAGCTAATGCTAATAGTCGACTAAATATCGAAATGGGAGTTCAAAATCCTAGTTTGGGGTCTTTCATCAACTGTTTACGAAAAGTACAAGCGTGGCGAGATGTATTTTACAGCCGACTTGAATCAGGTAAGAGTCCTCCCCCCGCCACAAAAAAAAAAAATTAAAGAAATTCATTGATGCAGATAAACGTATTTTAAAAATTGTTCAAAGTTATGAAACTAGAACTAAGATATCATTTGTATGCCTAATCATTCAGAATATTTCTCTGCATTAATTTAAAATGTATAATTTAATATAAAAAAAAACTTTAGATATTTTATATATTATATTTTGGACGTATTATAATAATTAGGATATATAACTTTTTTTGATATTGTATTTTAATTGCTGGTATATCTATAATTGTAATAAAAAATTGTTTTAGATACATTTTTAATATTTTATATAATAAATAATTTGTATATTTAAATATTTTGTATTCGTTTTTGTTTGACGAATAAATATTATAATAAATATAAATAACTTATTAATTTCATTTACTGATTTATAATTTAGATTATATTTTTTTTGACGTCCAATTGTCACCAAGTCCAAACGGCCACATCCATTTGTTCTAGATCGTAGTAAAATGGTATAAGTGTAGATTATGTAAGTATAATTGTGTAAACAATTAAAATATTGAGTTTTATTTATTATTGATTAAAGAGGCGTTTCACAAATTTTTCTTTAAAAATATAAAAACATAATAAAAAATAAAAATAATGATATAGCATACATAAAATATTTCTAATTATCTATAATTCAGCTAAATAATAATAATAAAACTAATACAAAAAAACTATATGTAATAATTATTCTGTTGAATTAAATTGAATTTGGTTAATTTTTATCAATAAGTAGTCTGTAATTACTCACAACGCCGCGCACGTCAATAGGTAATGTCAGAAGTAATTTTATCTTATACATCATTATCGTCAAAATATTAGTATTGCAATTTTTCATTTCTGAGATTTTTTGTCCCAAGGTCTGGAGTCTTTATTTCATTACTTATAAAAGGTGCTTAAGACTTATAGTGTTGGTAAAATATTAATGACTTGAATATTTTTAAATATGCATGCATTACCAACCTATTAAAACTGTAGCCAATATAATTGTATACCCACATACCTATTATAGAAATTACAGTTTCATATTTACAATTCCATTGTTTTTTCATTTTTTGTCGCATTATTAAATGATATGTATAAAAAAAAGGTCATAGTACACGAATACTAATGGACCACCAGTGAGTATTGTTTATGATAAATGATAATAGTCTTAAATCAAGAATATTATCTTATTCAATTATAACATCCTATGTACGTGTTTTGGTTTATTAGTTGTCCGGTAGGTGCGCATCTAGTGGCCCCTTCTTAGTTATGAAAAAACACCGCTGCCACCTAGGTGGCCTATAAAATGGCTCACAGTGGGTTTCTGGCCAACAGTACCTCTTCACTATTCAGTTTATCTACAACAAGCATTATGATGTCTGTAGCAAAAATCGTGTTTTTCATCACCGTAACCGTCGCCATCGTCGGCGTGGCACTTGTCTCGAGTGTCGATATAGATCGGTCTGGCAGTGAGTGTACCTACTTTAATTATTATTTTTTTGATTTCGTTTTTAGTAAGAACCTGTATTAATAATAATTAATATTATTATTAATGAAACTTATTTTTGCAACTAAAATATTTTTTTTGATTTAGGGCTCAATATTCATTTTATATTTTTATTTATTTGCTTTACATTAATTCATGCTTTTAGTTTTTTATATTTATTTAATAATGTTGTGTTTGTTTCTTGTTTTTTATTGATAATTCATACCATCATAATTTCAGCTTGGGTTCTTCCCCATGGTGCCGAAGAGATAGCCTTCACGCCCAAGAACATCCCGATCCGCAGAAGCGATGTATCACAGTTTTATCCTGAGCGTTATGATCCTTATATGTCGCCGATATTGAATAAACCTACACGCGAGAAGGCACTTATCATGAATGATATTACTGATCGGCCTGCCAGTGAGTATTCCTACTTTAATTATTATTTTTTTGATTTCGTTTTTAGTAAGAACCTGTATTGATAAATGATAATAATTAATATTATTATTAATGAAACTTATTTTTGCAACTGAAATATTTTTTTTTGGATTCAGGTCTCAATGTTCATTTGATATTTTTATTTATTTGCTTTACATTAATTACAATGCTTGTAGTTTTATACTTATTTAATAATGTTTTGTTTGTTTTTTGTTATTTATTGATAATTCATACCATCATAATTTCAGCTCGGGTTTCCCGTCGTGCCGTAAAGATAGGCACGGTGCCCAAGAACATCCCGTACCACAGGATCGATGTCTCAAGGTACGATGAAGATGATTTTATGACGCCGTTAATGACTACATCTGGCAATGGTGTGCCGGTACCATCATCAACAACTGATACTACCAGCACAAGGCCCATCGTCAGCAAATATGGAAGCCTGAGGTAAATACATCCTGTTTTTAACGTGTTATATAATAATAAAAATATATAAATTATAGAATTTTCATTGCACCGCATAGTGCATATTTCGAAAGTCCTTATTATATATTTTTACATTCGATGCACTATAAATCTAATTGATTACAGAGAGCTAAAACGTCATTGCATGTTCATAAGTATTTTCATTATACTTTAATAGCTTGTGTCAGTTGTAGGCAACTGGCGGCCCGCATCCCGCCAGTAAGCCTTTTTTATCTGGCCCGAGCTACATTATCTTATTACACTATACAATTTTAAAGTTTATCGTCTATACTCTATATTCTGTTTAACACCAATTAAAATGTATATTTTTAACCCCTTTTTTTGCTTTCTCTGCTCTGGCCCGCTAGATTTTAATTTTCCAAAAAATTGGGCCCTCTAATAACTTTGAGTTGCTTATCCCTGGCTTATATGAATCAATCATAATAATATATAAATTTAATTCATAAATTATATTTCAGGGTTTTTTTTTTAATAAATTGTGTGTAGTAAAATAAAAAAGTAAAATCATTGATAGGTAATAATCATTGTATCTAACTCCAAAATTACTAATAAGTTCATTTTTTAATCAAATCATTTTTTTTTACTTTTTTAATACAACTAGTTGTAACATTTATTATTATAACAGCAGTATACTATAATAATTATCATTTAATAGTATGTATATTGTGTGGCAATGTCGGGAAGTGAGCTATTTCAGTCGAGGGCGACGTGTTTTGCCTAAGACTGAACTTTTCTTCCCGCACGAGCCACATATACTATTTTTTATCACACCTTTGGGTTGATCGATCACGACCAAGTTAATGCAGGGATCTATGCAATAACCAGACTACTCTTTGAGAACAATTTGACGAAAGAAAATGTATTCTTGGTTATAATATGAATATAAGATATAACCCAAAAGCTTAATTTTTGTAAGGGCTATAGATTTGGTGTGAGTTTCAGTTAGTTTTTAGTTTTGGGGATTTCCACTTTACCACCCGTTGGATGGAAAACGGTCGCTTTCCAGCGCTTGAACTGTTATCAAAAACTAAACATTCAAAAAATAAGTTAAATAATATTTGTATAATTTCGGAAGAAACATTAAAAACAGCGGTATTAGAATTCTACGTTATACATAGTGTACATTTTGTTACTTCTTATAAATATTTACATTTTCGATAATATAATGTACTATTTTCATTTTAACCGATGTAAAATAATTAATATTCATTCTAAATTAAAAATATTTTATGAATAATATTTATTATTTTTCTGTTCTTCGAATGTGTAAAGCAACCTTATTACTTATAAATAATAACCTTGTTGATTATAAATAATCTTACTAAGTGTTTATATTTAGACTTAACCTTTAAAACATATTTTTAAGTGATTTTCACTGAAAAATCATTGATTGGGTTTCTGTTTTCATTAATACAAATATTTGTTTTTACATGAAAAGGAAACAACTACCGGCTCTTGTTAAGACCAGAGGTTCAGATGATGGAGCTGCCAGTTCCAGTTCTCCGTTAAGAAACAGAAATCGTCGATCGTCCTCAGAACCACATACACCAGCCAACAACAACACTACAGTAGAAAGTAAGACGCTTGTCAATAGAGGAACACCAAGGATTCGCCTAAGACCACATTATTTTTATTTGAATTATCTTCTTAATCAGTACTTGTTGTACGGACGAAAAATAAATTATAGACTTGATGGTGAAGACTTTTATGCTTGAAATTAGAAGATCATTATAAATAAATACATTTGGTATTTTTACTATTATTCCTTATATACATTTAATAATACATCTAATTATATAAATTGCATACTAAAACTAAATATGTATTTACTCTTATTATACATTATAAAATTCCATAATTATAATATTATTTTTCAATAAATAATCATATACTTTTTTCACTTGATGTGAATTTATTAATGTCTTACCATTTTCTTAACACAAGATGTACACCGTTTATCATTAGATTATCCTTGCAATATTCAATATGTTATATTGTCAAAAAATTAGAACAGTTTTACAGTTTTATGAATATATATAGTTGTAAAAGTGTAGTTTGCTGAAGATTTTTCTTTCGAGTCTTTGTCGAATGTCTTTTGGTCTTTTGTATTTATTACACCTGTCAAAATTTCTTTGACCTTTGTCAGTTATTACAGACCTTATTTGATCCGTGCTTCAGCAAATGAAAAAAAAACAGGTAAGTGAATGTCGCTCTGGTGTCTAAAAGTTCGCTGTAATGGATGGTATTAATTTTGAATTCAATGAAATTAAATCGTTGTACACGAAAAACGATTCTGAGCAGAAACAGTATGTCAGTCTATGATATTTTATATGTGATATTGCTATTACTTATTATTAATACGGTAACCGGTAAGTTGAATTAATATTATTCTTAAATTATCAGTGATGCTGGAAAAATATTAAAAATAAATATATACAATTTGACTGTTTTGAATAAAGAATTTCTTAGGTCAAACCTTGTTTTAAATTTTCTATTTTTATGTATAAAAGTTGATAATTTTATAAATTTGTAAGTACAAACCCATTTTAAATTTTAAATTTGATAGTTATTGTCAACATTTGAACTTTAAATGTTTTTTAAAAAAATCGTGCCTATATTTTTCAACAATATTTTATCAAAAGTCTTGTATACAATTTTCATACATTTTGACACTAACAATAAAATTTCATTGATATAAAAAAAAAAAAATGAAAAAAAATGAAAATTGAAAATGTCCGTCAACAGCTTAAAACAAAACAAATTATTTGAAAATTGTATCAACTATATGAATTGATAAAATAAACATATTATGTAAATTTCAAGGGTTTATGGTTATTTATTTTGGAATTCAACAAAATAAGTAAATCGCTACATGAGAAATCTACTGAATTTGATATTCATGTTATAAAAATTTCAACTTCAAATGCTCATAATAATTAAATTTGTCTTTCAGGTAGAAACTTTCTTTATGATAAAGGTAGATAAACTTATAAAGAATTTAAGTTTTTAAATCTTAGATACAAAAAGAAAATTTTTATAAATTTCTTACTCAAAAAAAATTTCTGATTTTCGTGATTTTTAAGAATTCTGTCAAAATTCTAAGTTCAAACGCACATAAAAATTATTGTGTATTTAAGTCCTCTATTTTTGTAATTTATACTAACAACAATATGCGAGGAATATTATATTACATTTACAAGTTTTTTGACGGAGCGAAAATTTTTTTATCAACATTAGTTTAAGAAAAACGAATAATCGACATTAAATAAAGTTCAACGTAAGCCAAAATATTTTGAAATTTGTATGGTGTATAAAAAATGCCAACACTAATATTCAGTGAAAACTTCATGTATCTACGTTTATTTTTTTTTAGAGTTACGCTAAAAACCAAAATCAATTTTTTCGAAAAATGGTTTTGCGTAAAAATTCCCATTTTTCCCTAATTTTTGGGAATTTTAAATTTTGACTTTCTATATGCACCAACTAGATTCACTTTCCTCTCAGAAAAGTTGCTGTTGAAGAAAAAAGAAGTACTTTTACTGCCCCAACCTTGATAACAGGCAAAAAAAATAAATAAATATAAAAACATACATCATTGTAAAACCAATACATTCATCGCTCAGTTCAAAATTTTAAACTTCGTCATATTTGGGTTTTTATTTAATTTTAACGCTTATTTTGATCGAATGAATTTAAACAAAGTTTGAAATTTGAAAACAGAAAACCAACATATGGCTAAATATATAGACAAGTCTGCAAGATAAGACTACACATCAGACGTTTCGTATTCTTCAAAATGAAAACACTACCTACTTATCAAGAATATTAACGATATTTTATTCCATCAGTCATAACATGCAGTAAGTAAAAATATTATCATTGAAATTTGGTAGTACAATTCTATTTCCTTGGCGGTTCAGTAAACATATCGACTTGAGAAAAATCCAATAATTGCTATTGAAGATATTTGCAGTAGATAATATATTTTCGCTGAAACGTTTTCTATCACGGTACAAATATAATAAAAGGATGTGTGTTGTAGTATTATACGAGCTACACAAATAATTTGAACATAGACATAGGTAGGTACTTAGAAATAGTCATATGATATTATAATTTATGATATGTGCTGTGGTCCTATGAACGAATTCTGGCCAAGTGACTCACTTAATATTGTAGAACGTTGTAGCATTATCCTAATTATTGGAAATTACTTTGTACAAATAAACTCATAGTGTGAAGTTCTAAATAATGTTTTAACCACATGCCTAATATATTTATACTTTTGGTAAAAACACATATATATTTTTTGTATTTAGCGCAAATTTAAATTTAATCGCATATTTTCAAATCATATCTTAGGTATATCGCCGCATTCCAAGGGTGGGTGTGTCACTATTGGCTTTCAATTACGATAGTCGTATAAACGAATGTTAAATACTAATGACGTCTAGACAAGTAATTAATAGTGATAATGTCTGAAGGATTTTGGAAAATGTTTTTTTATATTAGATAAGTAACCCTTGATTCGATATTCTCCACGGTGGACAAGATATATTATTAATAATTTATTATACCTGGTAAATTAGTGGTAATTTAATGACACGGAATGATGAAGATAACTCGATATCATCTAGACTTGTAATTTTTTTGAACTCATAACCACCATAAGAATAAATATTAATTATACGGGTGCGGCATTGATGTAACATTTTGAAATTAAGATGGATAATATAAAATTGTTATTTTATTGCTATATGCTATTTTCTATTTCTGTATCGTTGAGCACTTTTGTGGGAGAGAGAAAAGTAATTTTTTTGTTGGCTTCAAGTCCTAATATAATATAGGTAGACAATGACATCCAAATGTTTAATATCTATGCCCATAAGTCACAACCGTAGTTGCCGTAGTTATTCTTTTAATTTAATTATGAGAACATGTTAGTCAGTCCTCATAAGAAAACATAGCATTAAGCTCATTACGTTTGGGAACTTTTGAAAATTCTACTATACATTTACATTTAAAACTATTTATATTTAAAAATAAATCATAAATCATAATAATATTCACAAATTGATATCATTTTCAAAGTATGCAGTAAAACTAATTTTTTTTTATTATAACTATGTACATTAATGATTGCAATTCATTATTACAATGCTCAATCATTTTTAACAAATGCAACTAATGCTAAAATGTATGTAATTATTAATACAGCGTAAATAATTTTTAATTTAAAATCTCTGTTCAATTTTTCTTAAATAATTATTACGACAACCTATTGCTACTTTTGCATATTAAATCAATGTAATATATAAGTACATTTACATAGAATTAGTTCCATCACAACCATCATAGACCACAATTCTAAATTAAATGTATAACATTCATGTTAACATTGTGATGATTATGGTAAGTTTTTATACCTACAAAAAATGAGTGCCATATAAACCCAGAGCACTAAGTATAAAAAATGTAAGCTAAAACTTTTAACAAATAAATGTTTAGTTAATTATCCAAAAATAAATAATATTAAAGTATTAAACAGTATCCACATTTTCCATTTCAATTATTGGAATTTACCTACAAAATTACTAAGCTCACATCACTATTATTACATATGAAACGTGTATAAATAATATGCAGGCTATTAATAACATGAACAATTGGACAAAAAATAATAATATTTCTGATTTTTTTCATATTTTATTATTAACTGAAATATCACTCATTTATACACAGTAGTAGGCACAGAACAATTGCAATTGACTTACATTTTTCTATTTTAATTAATGTACGTTTTTATAATTTTCTTTAGATATATGATAATATATCTGTAAAATGAACTTGATTGATGATTAAAATGCATATTTATAAGTTTAAAAATAATATTCAAGGTTAGTTAAAAGTGAAATTACAATATTGAAAAGGTGAACTATGGTGCAAAATGTTTATATTTTTGTATGGGTAGTTACAATATTGTACATATTGAAAAATGCTCTTATATCTAGTTGTATTTGGTGCAAATTACAATCTTAAAAAGCGGGTGAGTGGGTGTTGCTCTGCTGTACAGTGGGTTACAAGTGGGTCACTGTAATGGAGGGTGTTAAATTTGAATTCAATGATATCAAATAATTGTATACAAAAAACGATTCTGATCAGAGATGGTTTGTCAGTCAAGGATATTTTATATTATATTTTTATTGTTATTACTTATTATTTATACGGTAACCGGTAAGTTGAAATTTAAATTAATATTATCCTTACATTTTCAGTAATACTGGAAAAGTACACACGGCAAATTAGTTTATTCAGATGAATATTATATATTAAGACAACTACTAGATCTGCGATAATCACTAAAAGCCAGTTAAGCAGTTGCATTTAATTTAGAGAAGTAAAATGTTTGTACATTTGGTAAATGCTGATATTTTTATTATGTTACCATAGTCCACAAGGACACCCTCAAGAACTTTTTCGATTTATAATTTTATAAGGAGTGTATTATTAAATTTGAAATGGAAAAAATCGTTGTTTATGTTAGCATGTAATTTTGTATAAATTTTAACTTAAAATGTCTGTACAAATATGAAATAACTTTATATATACATATATATTTTAGATTTTTTAGTTACGGAAAAAACTGCTTACGTAGAACCTTGTTTTAAATTTTCAATCCTTAGCTATACAAGTTGAAAATTTTTATACATTTTTAACTACAAAATCATTTTTAATTTGATAAAAATGTGTTGTCAAAATATTTTGAACTTTAAATGCTTATAAAAAAAATCGTGCCAATATATTTTTAATA